TTTTTAGTAGAGACGGGGTTTCACCGTGTTAGCCAGGATGGTCTCGATCTCCTGACCTTGTGATCCGCCCGCCTCGGCCTCCCAAAGTGCTGGGATTAACAAAGTACATTCTTAAGGGTAGGTGGATTTACAAAGAACCTTCTTAAGGGTGGGGTAGATGACAAAGTACAGGGATGAGTTAGGGTGGGGCAGCAACAAATCACAATGGTGGAATGTCATCAGTTAAGGCTATGTTCACTTCTTTTGTGGATTTTCAGTTACTTCAGGCCATCTGGATGGATATGTGCAGGTCCCTGGGGATATGATGGCTTAGCTTGGGCTCAGAGGCCTGACACGGACAACTCTAGAGTGAGGAGACATGTAATCATTTTTCCTTGCAGTATTACAACTGGAAATGGTGCTGGGATATTATCTCTGCACCCCTCACAGGCAGCTAACAACATCACAAATCGGCCAGAACCATCACTCTGGGTGGGGCCCCAAGGGTGCCAGTTCCCCAGGGCCCAGTGCCCTCCAGCATGAGGTCCCCAGCAGGTGAAGCTCCTAGCAGGTGAGATTCAGTGTGGCAGGGTATCTGGGAGCAGGTCCCAGCAGGTAAAGTCCCCAACAGCCGAGATCCTCAGTAGGTGCAGCCTCCAGCGGCCAAGGTCCCTAGCAGGTGAGGTCCCCAACAGGCGAGGTCCCCAGCAGGCAAGGCTTCTGCAGGGGAGGCTCCTGACAGCCGTGAAGTCCAGCATGTGAGTTCCCAGGGAAGCGAGAGGGCTGGCCATGAAGGACTCCAGCAGGTGAAGACCCAGGCAGATGAGGTTCCCGGCAACCCAGGCCCCACACCGGCCTCTCAGGTGAACCAAGCCGCTATGCTGCGCACCGTCTGGTACCTGGATTCCTCCTGCAGTTTCCAGCAGGCCTTGCAGAAATCCAGTGCCCAGCTAGAGAAGCGAGGCCGCAGCGTCTCCCGCCAGTGGAAGTAGCTCAGGTAGCGGGCGTGGTCCTTGTCCAGCTCCTGCAGGTATCGGGTCAGGTCCTCGGGGCTCTGGAAGTCGTCCACGTGGATGAAGGCATCGGGCGGCAGGAACCTCTCATAGTTGCTTCTGCTGGGCCCCAGCACCACGGGCACGGCCCAGGTCCCCAGGGCGTTCCTCCACAGCTTCTCGGTGATGTAGTCGGGGTGCAAGGAGTTCTCGAAGGCCAGATAGAACTTGTACCGGGACAGCATCTCCATCATAGTCCCCCTGGGTAGGGGCTTGTGGGATTTCCCGTACACATCCACCTTGAGATGGGCCTGCAGGCTCTGGTAGTAGCGCACCCTGGCCAAGTCCGGCTTCCAGTTGGACACCGCCCAGGCCACCAATTCGGTCTTGGCCGAGAGGTTGAGTGGTGGGTGGGCAGGCTGGCCGGACCGTGGCTCCAGCCAGCCGTAGAGCGTGAAGATGTCGGAGTCGCTGCGGTAGGACATGGTGAGATTGAAGTATCCGTCCAGGGCTTGCAGGTGCCAGCAGTTAGAAAGTGGCTCTAAGTTGAACCAGATTCAGCGCTGCCCCTGCGGCCTCGGGGAAGGTGGGAGACATGACTTAGGATTCGACATGATATCCCAGTGGTGCACAATGACCGCATCTGCCTTTGGGTACACCTTGCGGTCGGCAGTGATTTGGCAGTCGGCCGTGCCAGGCACCATCTCTGAAGAGCGGGACAGAGCCACGGGGATGTGGAAAGGCCACGTCCACAGCAGGATCAGGAGGGTGGGGCGGGTGGGAGTGGTGTCCTGTCTGGAGGACCCATTGGGAGCCCCAGTGACAGGTGCCACTGCCATGTACCCTGGCCTAGGGAACCCAGTGGCATCGTCTCGGGACACACGTAGGTAGGAGAAGAAACACACAGCCACCAGCAACTGAAACAGCAGCCCGGCCAGACAG